CGACATAGTTCATAAAACTTTTATATAAAGACACTCCACCTTTGCCTTCAATGAACTTCATTTAATCTTGAATATAGCCCTCTATTTACACATTTCATACAGTAAATACCATTTTAAAATGCTTTCTAAATATTACAATGTGTGATTTTGGAGCAGGCATGAATTTAACAATTTTCTATCTTTTTAATGAGAAAAAGGAAGTAAGAATATTATTCAAATTCATATGTTTGCTTGGTAATAAAGCTAACATTAAGGATCTGGTCTTCTCACTTCCAGTCCATTTATCAGTATTTATTTCTTTATGAAACTGTCACAGTTACTTTTTGATAATCTTACCATTCTTTAATGTTCATCGTAATCACCAAGTTATTTGAAATACCTTCTTTTTCCCACAGTTCTTACTGAAACTCTAACAAAATTTTACATATATAGTATATATAACACTAAAATGGTACAAAAAAAGTTAAGTTGATTATCAAAGACTTAGGAGGATTATTCCTCATTTTAGCACAACTTTAACAGTATGTTTATATAGAAAATACACAGATTCACACAACAGTGGCTGATGTCACTATACAGGGTGAAGAGTGGCTGGACTTGAGTGAGAGCCACTTGGGAAGGAGTGGCTGTCCACCTCAGGCTGCTGTTTGAACAGGAAGGTGTTCAGAGCCCCTAATTTAGTGCTGTTGCTAACTCTGGCCACCAAGAATGCGATGAACAAAAGAGAAGTGGCTTGTACCAATCACTTGAGCCAATCATTTGTTGCCTTCAAGAGCTGACCCCCATTGCCAAGGAAACAAGCCACTGGCCAGGCCTAAGGCTACCAGGCCTATGCCATAACCACAGACATAAAAACATAAGCTTGAGGAACCTGGTTTTAAACATCACTCCCTCGTGTTTTTAATGACGAAATAACAAACCAGGTTAGGATTGTGACATTTTATTTCTTAAAAAGCCTTGGGAGAGTGTTATTAACTTACTAGCTCAAAGTTTACAAGTACCCTTGTGAGGATAAACAGAAGTGGTTAGTCAGCAGCATATAGGCCATTTGCAGACTCTTAGGCTTGGAGAATTAAAAAGGGTCACAATACAGTTGTTTGTCTTATTATTTCCCTTAGTTTTTTTTTTCCTTTCTTTTCCTTCCCTTTTCTTTCTTTTTCTTTCTTTCTTTCTTTCTTTCTTTCTTTCTTTCTTTCTTTCTTTTTCTTTCTTTCTTTCTTTCTTTCTTTCTTTCTTTCTTTTTTTCTTTCTTTCTTTCTTTCTTTCTTTCTTTCTTTCTTTCTTCTTTCTTTCTTTCGAGAGAGACAGAGAGAGAGCACGAGTAGGGGGAGAGGGAGAAGCAGACTCCCCGCTGAGCAGGCAGCCCAATGCAGGGCTGGAAACAGGACTCCTAGATCATGACCTGAGCCAAAGGCAGACACTTAACTGACTGAGCCACCCAGGTGCTCCTTTTTTTCCTATTTTTTGTCTAATTTTTTAAAAAGCAGAAAATAGAGAACTAGATGGCAGCAAAACAACTACACCTCTTGTATGTGAGGATGTGTCTGATAGAGCTAATCAGACAGACAAGCTTGTATTACAATAAATGACTTGTAATAAATTCTCGGCACCAAGGTTTATTAGTACCATGACTCTAGGTAGAACAGAACTGTACATATTTCTTTGCAAAGATGAAAAGCCATATTCATGATTTGTTAGATAGGTCTCCTGAATTTAGTCTTTTTCCAGAATTAAAACAGAAGAACCAATCCTATCCTAGCACTGGAATTAATCTTCAGATATCTAGAAACTTCATCACAATACAAAACAAAGTGATTATTTTCCTTTCTGTAATTAGCTTTCCCTGTTACATTTTTTGAAAAGCAAAATCCCAAGCAGGCCAGGTTTTTTGCCAGTTTCGTTTCTGGCATGGTTTGGCTGACTTTTTAGTTTATTGCTCTAATGATACTCAAAAGTTTTTAAAATTCAGGCTCAGTATATAGCATCTGAATATGGAGAAAAAAATTAAGTTAAAAAAACAAAAGTAATCAATACGTTTATAAAAATTATAACTCAAAGGTCTATAGCTTTTCTAATCTTTAGTAATTACATCATTTTTATAGAAATAGCCAAGTGTTAGTATATAAATGAACAGTAATGAAATATTTCTGTATTGGAACTATGCAGCCATAAACTTAATATCTAATTTGAGGTTTTCCTTTCCAATATGAGATAGTAACTTTTCTTTCAAAGATAAATGAGATTAGCTTGTTGAGACAGACTTTTTCCAACATCGATCATTGTCTCACTCAGATTTTAAGTAAGAGAGCTAAAGGTTTTTGTTTTCTGGTGCCTTACCAATAGTAGGCTTTACATATCTTTGTGTCCCTTCCTCAAGAATCTTCATTTTGAAGTTATTTTTATCTGTTAATACAATTGTTACAGTTAAAGGGTTTGTCTTCAGAGCTTTCTTTAAATGTTTTTATTTAAATAATGGGGCTTTTTAGTACAAACTGAACAGAAAAAATGTTTCACTCGAAAGGAAGATCTTTTTCCCCCCATTACTGTTTCCTTAATTAATCATAAAGAAAAGCCTGGCTTAATAGAAAGTATAAAAGCTTATCTATAATGCTATTTTCAGGCTTGAAACCTTAAACATAGGTTTAGGGCTCTGTCAATAAAGCATGTGCATTTCTTCCCGTTATTTATTTATTTATTTATTTAAATTTATTTACTTGTCAGAGAGAGAGCACAAACAGGGGAAGTGGCAGGCAGAGGGAGAAGCAGGCTCCCCGCAGAGCAAGGAGCCCAATTTGGGACTCAATCCCAGGACCCTGGGATCATGACCTGAGCTGAAGGCAGCGGCCCAGCCAACTGCACCACTCAGGTGTCCCTCTTTCTGTTTTTTATTTTTTTTAATTTTTTTTAAAGATTTATTTATTTATTTGAGAGAGCGAGAATGAGAGAGAGAGAGAGAGTACATGAGGGGGGGGAGGGTCAGAGGGAGAAGCCGGCTCCTCGCTGAGCAGGGAGCCCGATGCGGGGCTCGATCCCAGGACCCTGGGATCATGACCTGAGCCGAAGGCAGACGCTTAACGACTGAGCCACCCAGGCGCCCTGAAAAGAAGATATTTAATAACTACAGATATCACCCAAATACATCACCTAAGGAAAACAGGGCGTTGACAATCTTTGCTATTGTACATGTGGTCCTAAACAGGGGACTGGCTAAAGAAATTGTGGTACATTCTCAAGATGTGGTATTGAGCAGTTAATAAAAAGAATGACTTAGTGTGTTCAGTTTTGTACCTGGGATTTGTTCTAAGACACGAAGACAGAAATGATTGTCATGAAGAAGAAAGCATATACCCACAGACCCCCGGAACCAGGAGGCGGGGCACACCATGCCTTGCAGAGCTACATGGAGAAGGACCACGGCTAGTCGGGAGGCAGAGCGGGAGGCAGAGCGTGGCCCAGAGCCTTTGCTGGGGCTTTGTGGCAAGGACTGGATGAAGCAGGAAGGTACACTGAATAAATTTAGGATTGGATAGTTTGAATAATTTTGGTGGTCTCTGGGATATTGGAGTGGTCCCTAGTTGTCTGCGGCCTGGCCCTGCGGTGATTTAGGGCAGTAGGAACACTGCGTTGGTATGAGTTTGATCAAACTGAGTTTGACAAAGAAGATGGTTGTGGGTGTGGACTCTGGACTGATTGGTTTGTATATCAAAGACTCACTCTCAGGGGAGTCAGTTGCTAATCTGTGGAAATTAGTGAGTCCTGGAATGGGGCAGTGTTGCCAGGATGAAAGCCACAAATGCCAGAGTATCAAGAATACAGAAAATAAGAAAATATAATTAATACAATTGCATCATATCAAGGAATTTTGAGGCAATGCTAGTAGAGAGTATGGCATAAGATGCCATTAACCAAGAAAACAGATCTGAAATTCTTGGGGTCTCTAACAATATCTTGGTGGAGTTGTAAAGTATGTTAAAAGTATGATGTAGGGGCACCTGGGTGGCTCAGTCGTTAAGCGTCTGCCTTTGGCTCAGGTCACAGTCCCAGGGTTCTGGGATCGAGCCCCACATCAGGCTCCCTGCTTGGCGGGAAGCCTGCTTCTCCCTTTCCCACTCCCCCTGCTTGTGTTCCCTATCTCTCTGTCTCTCTCTCTCTCTCTGTCAATTAAATAAATAAAATCTTTAAAAAAATAAAAAAATAAAAAAAAAGTATGATGTATGTCTGTCTCTCTCTATCGCTCTATTTATATCTCAAGGTGGTGGGTCCAGCAGTTATTTTGTCGCAGGGTATGAAATGGTAAGTTAGTAAAGTATGTGTAAAGATTAGGGATATCATGTAGCTAAAAGGAAAAGAATGGCTGTGGTGGTCAGGGTGGGAGACAAAATGAGAGGCGGAAAAGTCTTGGGAAGTACCTGGTTCTCTCCCCAGAGGGTTGAAGGATTTTACTGATATGAGGCAGGTGCCTAAGGAGAAAGCAATAATCTCTCTGGGCGCCTGGGTGGCTCAGTTGGTTAAGAAAGCAATAATCTCCATTAATATTTAGAATGGAAGATAGTAGTAACCGCTACCATATTTCCCTATGGGCATGGGAGGGTAGGAGTGTGCCTTTTGGCAGGAAACAAAGACTGTAGCCGGATCATGGGCTAAGCAGACAGTAAGCTCAGAACCATGATGGGATCCCTACTATCAAAGGAATAAAAGCAAAAATGTCCTGTGTCTAATTTGTGCCTTAGGAGAGCCAGCCCATGGGCACCCATGGGCTCACCTCTTAACAGTGAGGTCTTGGACTGGGGCAGTGATATCTAGGATGTGGAACTGGGGTATCCTTTCCAAAAGGGTACCCACTTGAGGTGACGTGGGTCTCAGCATTTGCAGCAATGGCTTATTTAGAGGGTTTGGGTCTCCAGATTGTAAGTTAAGGAAATCACGCAGACCAATGCTAATAGGACCAACAGTCAAGAGAAAGGTATGTGGCTATACCTCACAGGGCTGTTGTTTTTTTGTTGTTGTTGTTGTTGAAGTCTAGGCTCAAATGAGTCCTATATTAGATGAACAGCTGTCTGATCTATGGACAATCTGGATAATGGGTCCCAAAAGAGTATATGCACTCTTGATATGGCCTCCAGCCCTTCTGGGATAGGGGAATGATAAACAATTTATAAAGACAGGGGAAAATGTTATAAAAAGGGCCTCATAAATAATGAATGTTTATATACATGGCAGCAAGACACTTCTCCCTTTAAATACAGGAAAGGGCAATGGAAAAGTTTTCTAAGTTGGTGTGAGGTGTAATTTGGCCAAAGGGACTTGAATTAAGAGAGAATAAGGCCTGGAGCAAGATAGAGACCCTTCACAGGTCCATTTACCGGAGCAGAACTCGAAAAGGAGTTATTTGAGAAGGCCACTGTATCTATCAATTAAACCAGCTATTTGGGACTTAATACGGACATGAAAGTTCTATTGAATACCTTTTCCAAAAGACTAGCATTGTGTATTTTGAGAAGTAAAATGTGTGTCTTGCTTATTATAAGTAATGTCTATAACTCTGAAAGTAATATGGAGTGTCCAGGCAAGGCATTGTATTGTGACCTTAATATAGATGGAGATGTGTAATTTTGACTTAGATTTCGGGTATCTGTGAGGAAAGAGAGTCCCAGAGTTTGCTTGTTTGTTTCTCCCTGAAAGGGACAATTTTTAGGCAATGGCCCAACAATTATAACATAAGTTATAATTAATGTAAAGATGGAGCTACTTATTGGCCAGGGCATCGAGTATTAAGATGACTGCATGAAGGCCAAGTGTGTTGTTTCTTGGGTCCCGTCCTTTATTAGGGACATCTTGGCTAAGAGATGGAAAGCAGCAACATTCCACTGAGTTCCATCATGTTTGGTGGCTCGTAGTGTCATTTGCATAGTCTAGGTACTCCCTTGCTGTTCATTCAGTTAATCCCAAGTGTCTTCCCAGTGACCTAGGGGAGTGGTGACATCCTCCAGAACCATGCCATCTGGCAAAGGACTGAGGATAGAGACAGCCACCTCCTCCTACAGGTGGAATATATCAGAGAGCCCAGATTTGGCTCTATCCTACCTTAAGGAGGCGTTGGTAGTTATACTGAGTTTCTGGTGGGCTATTTTCATGACTTAAAGCTTAATACGCTGCTGGGTATGAAAGGTCACAGGCTCAGGGTCTGTGAGAGCCTCTATTTTCCAGAGAGTTGGAAATCTTTAAGGCTTTCTGAGAGCTGGTCTTTACTTTCAACAGTTTAAGTCACCCCCAAGCATAACCTGAAGAGTAGGATTAAAGCCTCCAGATGCAGGCAGACAGACCCAAAGTGGGGCTGTGATTCACTACCTGAGCTGCCCCCCTTTTCCCTCCCCTTCCCCCTTTGGAGGTAAAATCGGCTTCCTCTCTGCCTAAAGCAGGGCTAAAAAGATCACCAATCCTGAGACTTGTCACATGGAAGCTACAGCAGTGCAGGCACCCAGATCCAGAGCTTGAAAAACAGATGCTCTTGGTTCGCAAGTCCACAACACATACTTGGTTAATAATGTGGATTGTTGCATACGTGGTTAATACTGTGGATTATTGGATGGGGAGGGAGGTGCTGAGGTGGGAGGAGAGGAACTTCCATGATAATAACAGCAAGCCAAACATCCCATTATGTAAAATTATGTCAAAAAAAGATGCATAGAAGAATGGCCACCAAAATGATAACAGTAGTTACCTTAGGGTGATATGATTCCAGGTGACCATTATATTCTTTTGTAAGTTTTAATGTTGTCTGAATGATTTACAATCAGCATGTATATTTATATAACTAGAAAGAAGCAATATAGTTATTTGCAGCTTAAAGGAGGACTTCTTTTTAAATAAAAAAAAAGTCCAATTTCAGTAGCATTCTCAAAGATCATAAGCATCCTCACTAAGGAGTTGGGGGGAAGTGACAGTATAATGGTCAGAGCTTAAGAAAATCAAGTATAGTAAACATATGTTAAACATTTGCCCAGAAAGGTCTGATATGAGGCCTACCACACACTTAAAAACTCAACAACTATACACTTGTTATTCAAGCTACAAAAACCTCTTTTCCTAGTCTCCTGCTGAGAAGAATCAGAAAGAAAGGGAGTAAGATTAGCTTCATGATAATCACTTGTGGGTTATTATACAAGAAAAGTAGACAATAAAATAGAAATTTTGTGACAACATTTCATGTTGAGCCAGATTTCCTGCCAGGGCATTTTCTGCTTTAATGACTGAAACAGGACTTGGTCACATCTTAACAAGATTCACAGAAGGGAGGTTCAAGCATGAGTACAAGCTACCATCTGACACATAAAAATAAAGAAAACATGGGATTTCCCCCAAATTAAAAACTTCTGTGATACACAATTTTTGGACTGAGTCCAAAAATATTTAATTAAAGCTAGACAATGGTTGGCTAAGGAAATCATTGCAAAAACTGAATGCGTGAATAAAAAAGTATTTAAAAATTGGATGCTAACTTTTCAACTATCATTTTTTATATGATTGTCCTCAGTAAAAGCAGCATAAAAGTGAAAATGAACAAGGTGATGGTACAGCCAGTAGGAGAAAATCAGTGCTGATAACCTTTACTTGCTCATCCTCTGAGATTGCATCTTACAGTTCACACAATGTGCTCAAGGTCTCACACGGGGGCCAGGGGTTGCCAGGATCTGTCTCAATAGAGAGAGTACTATAACAATAGGGGATGCCCCAGGCTACAGTAACTGGGATCAAGAGATATTTTTGGTTAAATAAACTATATAAAAGTCTGCTTCAGGGGGCACCTAGGTGGCTCAGTCATTAGGGGTCTGCTTTCAGCTCAGGTCATGATCCCAGGGTCCTGGGATCGAGCCCCGCATCGGGGTCCCTGCTCTGCAGGAAGCCTGCTTCTCCCTCTCCCACTCCCCCTGCTTGTGTTCCCTCTCTCGCTGTGTCTCTCTCTGTCAAATAAATAAATAAAATCTTTAAAAAAAAAAAAGTGTGCTTCAGGATTTCATGCAAATACTACCCTCATTTTAAACATGGGTGAAAAAAATCACCCAAATTCAGGGTTAATATAGCTGTCATCACATAGTTAGGAAGAAAACAATAACAACAAAAAACAGTCCCATTTTAAAAGTTTCATCAGTAGAGACACAAAGGTACTCAGGATTGAGAATCATCCTTCCTCATCACTGCTGCTCCATGCGTCTTCAAATGCTGGATTTAACTGTGACTTGGTTGTAGTCTAAAAAAGGGAGAAAAAAGGAAAATTTGATTTTTTTACCTCATAATTTTAGGTTCACAACAGTTATGAAATCTATCAAATGAAGAGCAATTACATTATTTTGAAAGTAACAATAAAATTGTTAATTCAAAACAAAAGTAATGTAACAAACACCCCACATACAATGTAAGGCAATGTAACTTCATTTTAAATAGACAAGCCAGAATTTATCCAAATTAACTATGTTTCCTTCAAAGTAATTACTTCACAAACACATACATAAATGCATCTACACACACACACACACACACACACACACACACACACACACACACACTGAGCAGCTATTGTTTATGGCATTTCTGCAACTCTTTGGAATTATCTGGATAAGGCTGCACATTAACATCCATGTGGCTAAGATTGGACTCAGGTCTATAATCTGACCTGACAGCCCAAAATATTAATGTTGGCAACTTTTTATTGTTTGGATGGACCTGACTATAAATATGCAAATATCCATATATGGGGAATAAGGTGTTCATCAAACAGAATAACACCATTTTTGGTCCAAAAACTAATGTGAGTTATTAAGTAGTGAGGTTTATTTATTTTTTCATCGCTGGTAAAGCAGTTCCCAAGTACATGAAAAAATATGTCAAAAATGGTAACATGTTTGTCATTAGCTCAAAGGTTTTCCAGGGAGATTTCTTTGAAAGATAATATGCACCTGGATGGTGTTTATTTAAAACAACAAAACATCACAATATTCTTACAACTTAAGAGCCCTATGTAATAAAAGTAATCAGCAACTAGAGGAATTTTAATTATTTGTGGCATTTCAAATCAATTCACTTTCTGAGGAAACTTTTTGGATGGCTACCTTCTTACTCTCTGGCAAATGACTAAAGGGCTTTAAGATGGTCTCATTGTTTTGAGTATCTGGTCATTCTGAGCCAGGTTTGCTTCTTATTCTGCAGCTTTTACATCTATTACAAGTGTGTTCAGACCCCAAATCCAACAATGTATTAGCACCAAGACCACTCACATATTACCTTAGGTACTGCCTTTTACAACATACAGCAATGTTTTATGTTAAGAGGAACCTCCGTGTCTAAGCATGTTTACTGCCTTTTTTTTTGATACGATGACTTAGAATCTTAAAATTTAAACAATGATAACAGTAGAGAAAGTGTGAATTTCCAGTAAGTTCCCCAATATCACCCAGGATAGTTGGAAAAGGACATATTAATTTAAGTATTCCTTATGGCTATTAAAGCTATAGATCAGAATCTATTACTAAACCTAATGCCCGCTATTGGCACCATTATTAAACTTAATGCTGGCTATCATGACTCAGTTGTACAAACAAAAAATATATCTCAAATACTCAGATAAAAAACTATTACCAAACCTCAGCTAATTATTCAATTATTTCTAGCAGCAGTCCACTGATTTGCAATGACTGTACCACACCTAAGTCTGTTTATTTTTACATCCAAACGTTCACTGTACAGAATTGCTGCTGAATCACTATATGGCACATCTGAAACTAACATAACACTGTATGTTAACTGTACTGGGATTAAAAAAAAAAAAAGCTGTAATGTCCTTGGGGGTTAGGTGATTCCTCCCCCTTACTCTATCTTACTCTGCCTTAGATATCTCCCAAAAATGTCCCTGAGTGTGAATAAGCCACACAAAGGTCATGCCTCCTAATTCCACTATGGAAGCCCAATATGCAACCTATTAAACATTTAAATTTCATTTGAAGACTCAAGAGAGAAGCAAAATTATGATTTATTATAAATTATTGTTGCTACAGTGAGCAAAGAAACCAAAATAATTATGTGAAAATTGAAATGAAATATTGATAAATTTTGATAAATACTATACAAATACTAATACGCAAATACTATAAACTTGACTGTTTATAGTAATATTTTGTTGCTAAAAAAATCACAAATAAAACACACTTGTAATTAAAAGCTACTGTAAGAAGGTTGTATATAGATGTGGTACCCATATTACCGTTTGAGACCCAAAGATGAAGTGTAACTACCATCTATCATTTAAGTTTTCTCTATAACATTTCCTCCTAGTAGACATCCTTTCTATGCTTGAACCTCACCAGGTTGCCTGTTTTATTGAGAGACAGTTGTAAATGTTATGGAGCTAGAGAAGCATGATTTAGAAGGGATCTAGTCCAGGTCCAAATAATGGGAAGGAAGAACAAAACCAACCCTTACATCTACACATATACATCTTGATGTATTCTAAATTCCTTACTGGTAATTACTGGAAAGTCTCTACAGGAGCAAAATAGGGCTGTTTGTGTCAGCAAATGATTACAGCTGACCCTGAACAACAGGGCTTTGAACTATGTGGATCCACTTATATGCAGATTTTTTTTGATAAATACAGTACAGTATTGTAAATGTATTTTCTCTTCCTTATGCTTTTCTTAATAACATTTTTTCTCTAGCTTACTTTATTGTAAAAATACAGTATATAATACATATATAGAATATGCATTAATTGACTGTTTATGTTATGGGTAAGGCTTCCTATCAATAGTAGGCTATTAGTGGTTAAGTTATGGAGGAGTCGAAAGTTACATAAGGATTTTTGATTGCATGGGGGTGGGTGCCAGCATCCCTGTTGTTTAAGGACCAACTGCACATATCTACCAAGTGGTAAATAAAACAGCTATGTATTGTGTGACTATCAAAATAAAGTAAGACTCTTGGTGAAAGGTCAGATTTAAACTATAATGTAGCTGCCGTATAGATCTCAGAAAGGAAAAAGTGATTAGGAGTTATATAGGCTTGCCTTAACCATGACCAAGTTTTAGGAAAAGAGGGCAAAAGGAAGGCAGAGTCCTCAAAATATAATAAAACAGCCTGCCAATTAAATACATAGATTTATGCTTAAAGACCATAAAACCTATCCCTATCACCCAGTGACTTTCAATTTCTTACAGTAGGACTAAATATCCCCTCTATCTTGGATATCAGAAGAAATACCGCTAAGGGATTATATCTTGGTTGATGGGGAAGTAAATCTCATCTTAAGGGTGGATTTGAAAAGAAACTGAAGAACAATTTTGCTTGATGATTCTGATATTAGGAGATACCATAAACTTGTCCTCAGTCCACAATGGATGTCAAAACAGGGATTCATACCCAGTTAACAGTATGGTTATTATTTAGTTTACCTGAAACTGAAGACTAAGTGAGTGTGTGTGCATGTATGTGCGTGTTTTGTTTGAAGTGTGTTCCTGCACACTTCTGGGAAATTGCAGCATCACTTATTTGACAGCTGAGATAAAAACACTGTTTTATTTTTTTTTAAGATTTCATTTATCTGAGTGAGAGAGGGAGAGCGAGAGAGTACATGCACAGGGCAGAGGGAGAGGGAGAAGCAGACTCCCTACTAAGCAGGGAGCCTGAAGCAGGACTCGATCCCAGGAACCCGGGATCATGACCTGAGCCGAAGGCTTAACTGACATCCAGGTGCCCCTAAAAACACTTTTAAATGTGCATTAAATAGTAAATATACATGTAAGGAGTAGGGTCTGGTGCAGACAGACTTCTCCTCTCGGATCTATAACATGATCACATTCATGTTCTACCTACATTCAAAGGAATATTTCAAACTAAAATTTTGTGAAAATAATTTTAGTCCATACCATTTTATGAGAATGATGGCTATCTTAAAGCGTATAAACAGTATATTTTAAAAGATAAGGCTTTATAGCTCTAAAACTTAAATATAAAGCTAACTTGTTTTTTGTACATCTCTATTTGCTTTTCTACTTGTTCGGTTTAGTTTCCCACATGCAAAAATTCTTCTAGATGAGGAAATTATCACTATAACTAAATTGTATAAATAAAACATCAGAGTCATCACAGACTATAAATTAAGCAATTTAGTTTTCTTCTAATATCCTTCTAATATCCTTCTAATATCCTATGTAAGTCATAGATTTAATTTATTTTTATTGTTTTCATTTGGTAAGTGATTGTTATACTTCCTAACATAGCCTCAAGTGGTCTTTTCTGTTTTTAGTTTTTTGGGGTTTTTTCATAGTGTTTTAACTTAGATTTATTGCATACCGTAATTCCTAAAAGGCAGGACACAGTAATTATATAATGGAAAATAAATGCCTGAGCCAAAGTATTTGACCATACTAAGCTTTCTACAGAAGAGGCACCTGAGTGGCTCAGTCATTAAGTGTCTGCCTTCGGCTCAGGTCATGATCCCAGGGTCCTGGAATCAAGCCCCACATCAGGCTCCCTGCTCAGCAGGAAGCCTGCTTCTCCCTCTCCCACTCTCCCTGTTTGTGTTCCCTCTCTCGCTGTGTCTCTCTCTGTCAAATAAATAAATAAAATCTTTAAAAAAAAAGAATATTCAGTCATTTAAAGCAGCTGTACACCAAAACTAATCAAAGCCATAATAAACTAGGTATGTGATGAAATCTGAAAATATTCATACAGTAGTTGGCCAGCTGCTTGAAAATTTACCATTACGTGTTTTCTCTATTTTATTTGGATTAGGGCCAAAAGAAAATAAGTCACAGGCTTTACAGTGCAGTAAGCCAGAGCAGTTGCAAATCTAGGCATGAAATAGATTTTGCCAATAGCTGCTAAATGGTATCAACCACCCCCATAAAAACTCATTTCCATGTGGTTTTGGACATTTTTTCACAAAGGAACTAAATATGTTGAAAATATTTTTAGAATTTTAAACTTGCTCTACCAATACTTTTCATCTCCATTGAAGATGATTTGTTTTTATACTAAGACTTGAGTTCAAGATTAACTCAAGGTGTTTCTAACCGCGTTATTTATATTTCCAACTTTAAAAAATTATACACATAAATATTGGTTTTTAAACATTTGACTTTTTATATCCTAGAAATTAAGATAAATAGGGATGATTAACAGTGGTTAGTAAAATAATCTTTGGTGGGGGTCACCTGGGTGGCTCAGTCATTAAGTGTCTGCCTTCAGCTCAGGTCATGATCCCAGGGTCTTGGGATCCAGCCCCGCATCGGGCTCCCTGCTCAGTGGGAAGCCTGCTTCTCCCTCTCCCATTCCCCCTGCTTGTGTTCCCTCTCTCACTGTCTCTCTCTCTGTCAAATAAATAAATACAATCTTAAAAAAAAAATCTTTGGTGAGAAAGATAGCACCTTTAGACAGTGTAACACAGAAGTAAAAATATACAGAGGCCACTACTTAAGTCCAGGGGGCATGTCTTATTCATCTTTGTTTACCACATTTTTTTAAGGGTCTTTATTCCCATGGCCATTGGTTATATTTGTATGAATTTATGTCTAAGATAGATACTAATGGGTGCTTGGGTTAGGTCATAACCTAACCCATAACCGAAGCGGCTGCCTTCGGCTCAGGTCATAATCCCAGGGTCCTGGGATCAAGTCCCACATCGGGCTCCTTTCTCAGTGGGGAGTCTGCTTCTCCCTCTCCTTCATGCTCTCTTTCTCTCAAATAAATAAATAAAATCTTAAAAAAAAAGACAGACACTAACAGACTACTGATAGAGTATAAATTGGTAAAATTCAAGTGTGTGAATAAAAAACCTTAAAAATGTCATACATGATAACTCAGATAAAATGTACTTCTTGGAATCTATCCAAATAAGCAATCAGAAATATAAACAATTTATAAACAATTACCTTGATTTGTTTATAATGATCAAAAGAAATCTCTCCAAATAGGTAAATATTTAAATAAGTTGTGATATATAAATAACAGCATGCTGTTATTAAAAACAAATTTACAAATAGTTATTAATGACAGGGAAGAAGGTTTATTATTAAGCTAGTAAAGTAGGATGCCAAGTTGTGTGTCCAAGCATATTAACTATGTTTAAACAACCATATATGCATAGGAAAAAGCAAGAATGAAGTAAATGAAAGTGTTAATAGTAATTCAACTTTAGAAATTTAAGTTGTTCTTTCAACATTTTTCTGGATTTTCCAAAAGTGTTATAACAGGCAAACTATTTTCACAATCTGAAAATAGCCAGACATGCTTTCAAAGTCTCTCATGGGGCGCATGGGTGGCTCAGATGGTGAACCGTCTGCCTTCAGCGCAAGTCATGATCTCCAGGTCCTGGGATAAAGCCCTGCATCAGGGTCCCTGCTCAGTGGGGAGTCTGCTTCCCCTCTCCCTCCACCTTCCCCGCCCCCCCCCCCCCCGCTCATGCTCTATCAAATGAATAAATAAAATCTTAAAAACAAAGTCTCTCTCACCTGAAATAAATTAATAAAACTATTTTCTTTTTTCTTTTTTTAAGATCTTATTCATTTATTTGACAGAGAGACACAGCGAGAGAGGGAACACAAGCAGGGAGAGTGGGAGAGAAAGCCCAATGTGGGGCTTGATCCCAGGACCCTGGGATCATGATCTGAGCCCAAGGCAGACGCTTAACGACTGAGCCACTCAGGAGCCCCTAAAACTATTTTCTTTACAATTTAAAAGTCACTGTATAATTTGTGTAAATAATATTTACCTCATCATCATCAGGAACTGGTTCAGATAAAGATGGTACCCAAGCAAGTATATTGCAGTCTCTGCTACCACTATAAAGTTCCTATAACACAGAAAATAAAGATATAATTGTGGGTCAGTTAAAAGCTGGTGCCAATCTGAAATGAATACATCATTTAAAGGACTAATTTTTAGGTTAGATCAATTAGATTAATTCTATTTCTACTCCCCAAAGACACCGAGCTGATGTCTTTTGTTTGCTTAAGATGAGTAAAGCTTTGTTTTGTATTTTAAAATATCATTAGGATATGTCAGAGCTTGCTAACCTGAAAATTTTACAAAAAGATTGAACAACCTAGTGGTTTTTTATCAATCATAATATCCATTTATTGCAAGTGTCAGAGTAGAAAAAGAAAAAAAAAGATGGAATCAAGAGTCTGTCCTTCTCTGTCAATAACTGAGTTTTAAGAAAGATATCAATAATAAAACCTTATGAGTTCTAGCTAAAATAGGCCAGAACTTCACAAAAAATATTATTTAGCTCACAGCTGCCTAACTGGTTGTTATTCAACAGAAGAGCTTTTAGATCCATATGCTATGCTTAGTGAGAAGTTTATTTAATAAGGGGACGCTTGGGCTGATGCACAGTCTATGTCAACATCTTTATGAATATGCTGTTTACACATAGCTGAACAATGTTCACTTCCATCACCAACAAAACTTAAGGAATATGTTATATTGTCTAGTACTAAAAACATTCCTATGAAGCAGTGAAATAGTCTCATATAAAAAAGGTATAAATTGGTATAATCTATGCAGAATAGAATCTCAATACATGTCAAAAGTTTTTGTATGCGTTTCTGAGAAGTCATGCCAAAGACATGTATGAAATTCAAGGACATCAGCATTATATTTAAAATAACAAAATACGGAAATAATTTGTCCCAAAGTAGGGTAATGATTTATATATAAATTTATGTTGCATTCATAGTATGGGGTGTCATATAATCATTAAATTTGTTTTTTAACAGTGTTTAATGACATGGGGAAATACTCAATATCAAGAGAAAAGAGAAGGATATCAACCACAGAGTCATCCTGTGAAGGAAAAAAGCAAGATGTAAAACATGAGGCCAAATAAAAAAAAAAAAAGAAAAAGCTATGTAAAGGGAAAAGGTCTAAAAAGAAAAAACAGCAAAACGATAAGCAGCTGTAAAACTATGAATAAGTGGTTTTTTTCTAAACAAATTTATTTCTGTATTTCTACACAAACATTTTATTTTTCAACATGTTCAACATGGGCTTGAACTCACAACCCTGAGATCAAGACCTGAGCTGAGATGAAGAGTCAGACGCTTAACCGACTGAGCCACCCAGGCGCCCCCAAACATTTCTAATAGTGAAGTTTTTTCCTGCTCTGCTATGCAATTATTTATTTTCAATACTGTTCATCTCAAAAAGTTTGAAGTATGGTACAATTAGTATTTTTCTAAAAAAAAATAAAGGTTCTAGATAAAGGAAATTAAGATTATGAAGTTATTTATAGGAAATATAGATGTAAAAATATTTTTTTTAAGATTTTATTTATTTATTTGACAGAGAGAGATATAGCGAGAGAGGGAACACAAGCAGGGGAAGTGGGAGAGGGAGAAGCAGGCTTCCTGCTGAGCAGAGAGCCCAATGTGGGGCTTGATCCCAGGACCCGGGGATCATGACCTGAGCCGAAGGAAGACGCTTAATGACTGAGCCACCCAGGCACCCCTAGATGTAAAAATATTAAAGTAAATTTGATTTAGTTATACATTATCAGACTTCCTGAAGAGAACAAAATTCTACAGACTGTATTGTTTAACCTTGAATATATAGTTACACTAACTGTGGACGATGCAAAGATATTTTCAAATGTTTAGTGCCCTTGAACAATTTAATTTCCCGAGAATACACACACACCCCTCTAAGATAACTTGGTCAGATAAGCTTACAAGGCAATCTTGGTTAAGTACTGCCACACTGATGGAGACAAAGGAAATTCTATAAGATGTTCAAGAAAGCTTATAAGAGACAACACTTAAATTAGAATGAGTAATAAGGACTTCAGGTAAATGGAGGGATTTGAATTGAGTGTTAAAGTTTTTGGGATAAGTTTAGGTGTTCATTTGGGAAATTAGATTAAAAAAATCTCAACATAAGATTATGACTAAGTTGACAACATGAGTCCTATCACTCATGAATGTTTAGTGTATTGTTTCCTTTGAACAAGGACACTCTCCTACAATTACAGTGCATCTAACAAAATCAAAAAATTCACAATGATATATTACTGCCAGCTAATTCTTAGACTCCATTCAAGTTTCACCAATTGTCTGAATAAACGTCCTTTATAGCAAAAGGGTCCAGATTAAAATCATACGCTGCACTTGGTTCTCATGTCTCCTAACTTTCCTTCAATTTGGAACTGTTCTTTAGTCTGCCCTTGGCCCTCCTGACCTTGACAGTTTTGAAGATACACACCAGTTATTTTGTAGAATGCCCTTCAAATTTTTTGTTTCCTCGTGATTAAATTGAGGTGATGCATCTTTGCCAGGACTATCACTGAAGGAATACTATGTAATTGGGATGTTAACTTTGATCATTTGATTAAGGTGATGTACGCCAGGCTTCTTCAAGGTAAAATTACACATTTTACCTTTGTAATTAATATTTTGTAGGGAGGTACTTTGGGATTATGTAAATATCCCACTCCTCATTAGACTTCCAATTTATTAGTTTACTTACTTATATCTGAATGGATTCATGGACCCTTATTTAGTCAATGTGTTATAACCCAGTATTATCATTATTTATTTTGATGTTAGGTATATCTTGTTAGATTTTTATAGTTATGATAGAAGTACTATAAATATCAATTTGTTTTCAGATTGTAAATTCTGTGTAATATATAATTAGAAAAAGGGTTCTACTGCATGCAAAGTACTACCCTATTTCGCTTTTGAGACTTAGAATTATTTTCCTTATCAAAAATCATAATGGATATAATGGATAAGAGCCGGAAGCTGTCTGATGTAGTGCAGTGATTCAAATCTGCGTAAGTAGCACCTAGAGAAGTGGGATTAGTCAGGAGGCAACTGGCCTAGGTTTCTGGCTGTGACCAGCTTGTCTCAGCTATTCCAAGGGCTGATGGGAACCAGTATCTTGGCACACTTTTAATCTATTCTAGGCACATGTGTTAGGAACTCTGATTTGGTAGAAAGCAATAATTTATAGTCAGGATATCTGGTTTAAAATCTTGGCTGTGTCTCTGAGTAACTCTGCATAAGAAAAGAGGTACAGTATTCCAAGAGTTTCTTTGAATAGATAACCGTGCTCTGTGAATAACTACTTGGAGGTTTGAGGCAAGGCAAAGTGGTGTTTTAGTCTTCTTCTCCCAGAAGTAATACCAAAAATATTTAACAACTAGTACATCAGGATACTGACCAATCAGCAGACATAATAGCCATAGAGTGGGTGCAGGATCCTGACGGTCCCTCTGAGGTGCTAGGTTAAGGTATAAACTAGGAGACCACAGGAAAGGGGGTAAAGCTAGAGGTATCTTAGGGGGCTTGGTGCCTTAGCTATTTAACAAATAAAATATGTATTTGAATATTTTAATAATGGCTATTGCCATACAGATGTGGTGGTGGCTGAAAAATAAGCACTGTATATCTTACTGTAGTATCACACACAAATTAAGTAATTAGCATTAATGAATAAATGATGAACAACTTTACCAGGTGATGAAGTCCTTCCTAGCTCTAATAATCCATAATTTTCATCCTATCAGTATTTAATGCTCATGAGCCTCATTTTCTTTACCTACAAAATACGGAAAATACCAACAGTCTTGCTATATTAGAGATTCATTTAAAGGAACACATGAGGTAATCTGTGCCAATATTCTCTGAAAAAAATAATCTGCTCTGTTGGTAAGATGAAAGAGAAAGGTCAGGATGTTAAAAAACAAAAGCCGTATTTAAGAAATCGTGTAAGCTGCATCAACTCAAAAGTAAATGATTAGCCACTGACAGGAAATAAAGAAGAAATAAAATCTGAGACATATATATAAAGATACAAAAACTATTTTGAGATTAGACACAGTGTTCCATCTTTTCCCAAAAGATTGATTGCAAGACATTATTTTAATTTACTAGAGATTTCATCTGGTAAATAAGTGGAGCCCAAATGCAGAAGAAAGAATTTATCTCAGTCAAGTTGCACAGTATTACATTGATTCATACAAATATCCTATACTATCTAAAACTGTATCCTGTATAATCCTCTATTAAAGAAACCCTAGCTTAAATGTGGATTACAAGTGTAATTCCTCAGACTGACATAACAATTTATTCTTTTGTATACAACTAGTCTGGCAAGCTAGCTACCTGAACATTTTAAATTCCCTTAAGGATCATTCTTACCTGGAAATTAGACCGGAATACACAGCAGTCAACACTTTTATAATGTCCCTTAAGCATAGTTATCTGTTCTCCTGAGTAAATTGTATAAACAGCAATGGTGCTACCATATGGTACAAAAACAAACTCTGCACTGCAGCCATAGGAGACTGTGAATTTCAATCCTTTTCTGCTGTCATTACAAACTTTTCCATAGTTGACCTGCAGGATGTAAGATAATATTACTCATTTCTTAAATCTGAATTAAAAAGACAACAAAGACTAGAAGAAATATTTACTTAAAATATTATAACATACCATGGAAAGGGCTGTAATAAATCTAAAGAAAATGATCAAGGTCCTAACAGAAAGAAACAAGGGCCAATGACATAAATATATGTTTCACATAAGATGAAAATACAAATAGTAAAAAAAATCCACAAAAGCAAATGTTTACATTTAAGCCAGGCTAGAAATAAAATGCAAATTAAGGCAACCTTAAATAATCATTTTAGACCACTTAGCAAAAAATTTCAAGAAACCTTGAGACAGTGAATACCGTTACAAGTGAGGTAACATGTTGGTGGCACTGTAACTTGGTCATTCCTTCTAAAAGGCCAAATGATTTATTATGCAACAAAACACAAAGATGTTCTTTTTTTGGGGGGAAGGGAATAATTCTCTTTTTATTTCAAAACATTTTTAATTGTGGGGCGCCTGGGTGGCTCAGTCGTTAAGCGCCTGCCTTCAGCTCAGGTCATGATCCCAGGGTCCTGGGATTGAGCCCCGCATCGGGCTCCCTGCTCTGCGGGAAGCCTTTTCCCTCTCCCACTCTCCCTGCTTGTGTTCCCTCGCTGTGTCTTTCTCTGTCAAATAAATAAATAAAATAAAACATTTTTAATTGTGGCAAAATAGACACAGCATAAAATCTGCCATCTTAACTGTATTTAAGTGTACAGTTAAGTGACATTACATTCACATTGTTGTGCAACCTTCATCATCCTCAATCTCCAGAACTCTTTTCATCCTGCAAAACTGAAACTTTGTACCCATTATACAAGAAAATTATTCTTACTCCTTGACCTAGTAATTACTCCTGGGAATTTAGCTTAGGGAAATAATTAAACAGCAAAAAGCTATATGCCCAGAGGAATTCAATGCAGCATTATCTAGAATGGCAAAATAACTAAAAATAGATGTAAATCCCGAATAATTTTATAACTCTACAGCTTATATAGTAATTAAAAATCATAATTATGAAAATTATGCAGGAAATAAGGATAAAAACTAAGGATAAAAAAGCACAGAACACAAGTAGTGTGTATACAACTGCAACTTTCTATAATTACATATTTAGGACAAAAATAAAAATTCTGCACCTGTATGCCAAAGGTGCGAGCCCAACATCAGCATCTCCTCTGCAGTTTGAAAAGGAAAATTCCAGGTCTTATCCCAATCCCACTGAACAAGAATCTTCATTTTAATAAAATACCTAGGTGATCTAAAGGCTCATCAATGTCTGAGAAGCTTTGGGCAAAAGAAATTGATAGTGCTGAAATTATTCTGCTGATAATTTAGATTAAGCAGTTTAGGGCAGGTGTAAAACCAGTAGCTAAACATTTGAGAATCATCAGCAGGAAGATCACCAAAGGCTCCAAATGCTATGGCTAACACCAGAATTTAGACAGACAGTGATTTACCTTTTTGTCTTTTTATAAAGGTCAGTTGGGAGAGTGTGTGTATATATATTTGTAAATATATATAAACAGGGGTGCCTGGGTGGCTCAGTTGATTAAGCACTCGACTCTTGATTTTGGCTCAGGTCATGATCTCAGTGTTGTGAGATCAAGCCCTGTGTTGGGCTCTGCGCTCAGCAGAGTCTGCTTGAGAGTCTCTCTCTCCCTCTCCCCATTTGCGTTCTCTCTCTAAAATAAATAAATAAAATCTTTAAAATAAATAAATAAACAAACACACACTGAGGACCAAATGGATATATGCTGATCATCTGGGTTCACTACACTTGCCTTACTCCCCCTTTGGGTTAACATGTGACAGAAATGAGTGTATGCATTCAGTTATCCCACTGCAGCAATGGTAGAACGAAACATTAAAATATTACACTTAAATTCGGTAGACTTGGTTTGTAGAAACCCACTCCACTTCCCACCCAACTTTTTTTCTTTTGCCTCTTATGAGTAATGAATGACTTAGCCTCTGAGTTTCATTATTCTAATCTGTTAAATAGAAATAGGATCATTTACCAGAGTTACTATGAAAAAAATCAGATGAAATAATGCACATGAGAGACCTAGAGCATAAAGGTATCCAGTAAGTCCCTAGATTTATTAATTCCCATATATATTTAAAAGTGTAATTCATTTGCATCTTCTGATCCTGTATGTGTAACTATTTGTGGAATGACGGTGGGGAAGGAGAATGGAGAAAAAACACACATCTGAACTAGAAATTCTCTGCTCCTGCTAGAAAAATTTTGAACTGCTAGACTGTGATGGCCTTATTCACATTTATCAGAGGACCTAGCTATAAGGTCTGAGTTCTTTCCACTCTACCATATTCTTTCCCAAATATGAACTGGAAAGTATTAAATGAGGTATGAATATTGAACTAGCTCTTTAACTCTTGTCTTCGTCCTTAGGCATCCCACTCCATCCTGCAACTTACAATCCTATTAATCTTTGTAAATCACTGCTGTGATCAAATCATTTGTGGACTCAAAATCATCAGTATCTTTTCAATACCTATGGAATAAAATTCTAATAACGGATTAAGGACAGGAATGATCTACCATTCACTAATGCTCACTATGTGTCATACATTATACTAGCTGATTGTCTAAGGTTCCCATTTTATGGCTATGCATGCTTACCAATGTATAATAAATAACATGATGTATATTATTATGAAAGTACTATAGAAGAGAGGCTACTTTTGGCTATGATGTCTTGAAGGTGGTGTGTATAGGCTTTGAAAAGATTCTGATAGTGGAGGAAGATACGGGACTTTGGATAATGATGATGGCAAATCCAACTCCCTATCCCTTTTACTGTTCTAGGAAATATATATATCTAGTCATTAAATGAATACCTATAGTGACACAGAGATTCCATCACAAGGCAGCTTATTTTATTGTCAAACAATGACCAGCATAATGATAATAATGACAGGTAATATTTACTGAATGCCAACATTTGCTGTAAATATCAGACAATGTACTTAATGTTTTACACGTGTTATTTCATGTAATACTCAAAACAATACTATGAGATAGTATTATTACACAAAAAGAAAACATTTAGAAAGTTTAACTATTTTGATCAAGATTTTTGGGATAACAAATGACAGAATCAGAAACTAAATCTAGACTGTACTAATCAAAAACCACTATGTCACACTGTTGTAAATTATTTTTCCTTCATCCCATGAAGTGATCACAGTACATTCTACTACAAGTGAGCACTGGGTACTTGGAAGCATCTAAGCTAGATGAGAGGAGTTACGGAGAGGTTGTGTCTAAGATGAACCTTGAAAGTGAGAAGCAGCTAGGACAGGAAGAACACTATTCCAAAGCAAAGGCAGGAGTCTGTGCCTCAGAATGGAAGGGCAAGAGAGCAAGGTATTTTTAAAGACCTCTAAGTAGTTCAGTAACGACAGAGAAAAATATGGGAAAGTGGCAAGACCTAAAGCTGGTAAGTTAGAAGATATAACTTATGAAGTCTTTGTGCTCAACAAGCAAAAGCATGTGGTTTTAATAACCTATTAGTATTGTGGAAACAGTGAAAGACTTTTATGGGGAGATAAGTTTGGGAAAAGTTAGAAGAATGTTATAGTAATTAACTAGAGAGATCACGAGGACCCAGAGTGAGGCTGGAAGGGAAGAAAGATATGAAAAAACTAAGAAGGAAGAATTAAGAGGATGCGTAATTGATTTCATACATGGGACAAGGGGCAGGGAAGACTAAAGGATAGACTTCCAATTTCTAGACATTGGTCATAGTGAATTGTACTATCAGTAACTTAAACAGTCAACACCAGAAGAGCTATTATGAATTTTTTGTTCTTTTGTTGTACCAAAAGCTGTCTCTCTGTTTATTTTCCCTGCAACTACTTGTTATGTTCTCTAAGGCAACCTCAAGGAGCCTCCAGGATAATCCATTAAGGTGTGAGAAGAAAACATGAAAAGTTCTATTTTTAATCTCATTTTTATTTAAAAAATAAGAAATTAACCTTTGATTAAACAGAGGTTCACAACAGTATTTGTATGTAACATAAACAATTATACATCTATTAGAAGCATGTACTTATACATCTTTTTAAAATTTATTTTAGGGCGCCTGGGTGGCTCAGTTGGTTAAGCGACTGCCTTCGGCTCAGGTCATGATCCTGGAGTCCCAGGATCGGGTCCCGCATCGGGCTCCCTGCTCGGCGGGGAGTCTGCTTCTCCCTCTGACCCTCTTCCCTCTTGTGCTTTCTATCTCTCATTCTCTCTCTCAAATAAATAAATAAAATCTTTAAAAAAAAATAAAATAAAAATAAAATTTATTTTATTTTTAATATTCCAAGTAAAAATTTATTGACATCCTAAGAATCCTTACACATTTAATTCTGCTTCTAATTTATCACAGGAATTACTTCTCCAATATGTTAATCACAGCTGGAATGAAAGAGTGTTTGTGAAGTGTGGCAATGTTGTTTTTATTAATATACCACATTACAAAACAACAAGCAGCAAAAGCTACTGAGGTAGGTCCAGAACCTTTAGTCAGAATGGGGAGGAGGAAGAGAAGTATCTCTGAAGAAGCAGAATATCTAATTCCCAGATCAAAAGTAAAGAAAATTACCCAAAGACAACATTAAAAAATAAGCTTCAGAAGTTTCCAAAGAAAACAAATATATTTACAACTTTAAGGTTAGGATTAGATAAAGTTTTCTTATTTAACTATGTCTTTTTTCTTGATATTTATTTTTAAGATTTAGAAGTTTCTATTGAAGAGGAAAAAGAGATATAAAGATGAATCCCTCTTAAAAGCAAAAAGGAAGCATTAGAAAACACATAAAGAGAAGCATAAAATGGGAGAAGTGGCTATACCACAGAGTACTATCAAAGTAAGTCGATGGTACAGATTCTATTGTTGCCAATGGACACAATCCATATACATCTGAGCCTGGGTGGCTCAGTCAGTTAAGTATCTGCCTTTGGCTCAGCTCATGGTCTTAGGGTCCTGGGATTGAGCCCTGTGTCAGGAGCCTGCTTCTCCTTCTCCCTCTGCACCAATCCCCCCCCCCCCCAGCTCCCGCTCATGCTTGCTTGCTCTCTCTCGTGCTTACTCTATCACAAATAAAAAAAATGAAATAAAAGAAAAGAAACTAACAAGGGTACTACCAAAAAGGCAACATCACACAATAAAAATAGTTATTTATGGTATACCTATTACTTAACAGATATTTAATTATTTACAACTCTTTTCATACTTCAATTTTATCCTTAAAATTACTGTTTAGGTACATAATAACCCCAATTTACAAGACAGAGACACTAAAACTCTGACCATAGTCCTTCATAAGGTCATCTTAAATAAACTGACTTAATGTCCCATATTACTAAATGGCAGGACTGGATTCAGTTTCCAATTCTGTCTGACAGCACTTTAATACTTGAAGACAGTGTGTTTCCACTGAGAGTTACTTTTCCTAGGATTGATGTCCCCAGTTCTTTTAAGTGTCCTCTGGAGGCGAGTTTCTGGGCTATTCTAGTCCCCTCCGCATGAATGACTACTTAGATCAAGTCAGTTTCAAAAGGTATTATCCATTCTAAACACACTATTCAAGAAGTAGACTTACTACTAGCAAAAACCCTTAAGGCATGAGTATCACTTTCAAGGAGAGAAAAATGTAATAAAATCACACTAACAATTTATATATACAGTCAATACCCTTTATACTTATCACATTCACCTTTGATGCACATGCCAACCCACCTTTCCAAAGTGATCCCATCACATCACCACTCAAAGGCCTTTAGTAGCTTTCCATTTCACCCAGAGAAAAAGCCTAAGCCCTTACAAAGGCCTACAAGCCTATATCCTCTGGTGTCTGGTTCCTTCTGTTCCTCATCTCCTAGTACTCTCCCCCTTGCTTCCTCTATTTCAACACAAGAGCCTCTTACATGTTCCCTGGGTATTCCAAGCATGCTGCTGCCTCAAGGTCTTTCTACTTTCTTCCTTCCTCTGCCTGGAATGCTTGCCTTCCCAGATATCTGATGGCTCACTTCATTTCCTTCAGGCCAAATATCGTCTTCTGAGTGAAACATACCCTGACTGCCCTATGTAAAACTGCAACTCCAACTTCCCAATATTTTCTATGCTACTTTCCTTGCTTTGCTTTTCTTCAGAGCACTTGCTACATCTAAAATATATTTTATCCATCCATCTATTTCTTGACTGATGGATGGATGTCTTTCTTCCTCTCCCTAGAATGTAAGTTCCATGAGGATAGGACTTTTCCATGTTTTGTCTGGGGCTGTATAATAGTGTCTGAAAAACAGGATATGCCCAATAAATACTTATTAAATGAATAAAATGAGGAAAAGAAAGGTGTGACCTGATAAGAAACATGATACAAATATAATGAATGGAAGATTCTAAAGTAAAATTTGCAATGCCTGAGTTTCTAGTCTGAGATATGATGGAGAAACACTTCATAAAGTATATGAGAGATTAGCAAACTCTAATCTAGTATGAACAATTTTGACCTTATAGTAAAATTAGAATTTAAGAAAAGAAATGATAGAGTATCTAAAAGAGAATTACTTAGAAAGGTTAAAGAAAGGAAGATGAAATGGGGCACCTGGCTGTCTCAGTCAGAAGGGCATATGACACTTGATCTAGGGGTTGTTGAGTTTGAGCCCTGTGCTGGGGGAAAAGGGTACTTAAATTAATAAATAATTAATATTAATAATCAATACCTACCTTAAAGCATTAAATAAATGCTATAAGGTGTTTGGTATAATCCCCATTATGTCTCATTTCCTCATGTGTAAAATGGGTATTATAACAGTAACTACCTTCACAGTAGATTTGATGATTAAATAAGACCCTATATGTTTCAGTACACGTTTTATGTTAATTTTTATTAATACAGTATCTGACACATAAGCACTTAATAAATATTAGCTATTACTATTACCACCAAAATACAAACTTACTAGCTTATTCTGAAAGTTATTAAACCACAGGTATACCTGGTAAGGAGCATAACATAAATTTTTAAAGTGTTAGAAGTTAAATACCACCTAAGAATCTAGCACATTTAAAACACATTTACTCCAGTATTAAAGTACCATATGTTCTGGTACTATAACATTCATCCTAGATTTTGTTTACAAGTCATACATAGTATAAAATTTGACTATAAGTTTAATTTATATCAGTTGTTCTCAATCTTTTATTCTTCTCCAATACACCTGAGAAATATGGCACACTCACATTATGCACAGTAGAGCAATAATTCTCCACAAGTGGGGAGAATGTGGTGGGGGCATGGTAGGGTGGGCTGTCCTGTGTTGAGAGTTATTAGTTCACTAATGGAAAAATATAAAAAGAAAACTGGAATACAGAGACAAGAAAAGAATTAAATCTACAGAAGGATACCAAGTGTATTTCACAGATCCATTTTTTAAATATATATTCAAAAGGTTAGAGGGGCACCTGGCTGGTTCAATCAGTAGAGCATGCAATTCTTGATCACAGGGTTGTGAGTTCAAGCCCTATAATGGGTGTAGATTACTTAAAAAAAAAAAAAAGTTGGAGATATTTAAAATCTCTTACTAGTGTGTTTTCTCCATTGGAACTATTCCAGAGCCTCATTCGATTATCCGTACCAACAGTAAGGAGATGAAGCCCATCACTTGTAAAACATAAGCCATTAACTTTCCCATTATGAGCAGTGTTTGCTGCAATGAAAAATACAATTCACTTAATCTACACATTAATGCTTGATGATACAGTTATTTAAACATATTAAAGGACAACTATCTGAATTACTTAAAATATACAAGTTGATTATATTTGGATTATTTGAATATCATAAGCTATATAAATTAGAATCATAAAAATGGAGAAAAACAGGAAAACTAAAGAGAAAGAAATCTTGCCAAATGTAATTTTTCTTCAGAGAGTAAGCTGTGCTGTCCAATTCAATTAAATGCATGCCTAACACTAAATTTTTAAATTAAACACCTTCCAAATTTCTCATATACTATTTCCATTTTTAATCTAAAAATCATTCCATGGACTATTAAAAATCAGTAATACTAGTATTTACTATTAAAAAAAACTTCAGTAGGGAAAGAGTAAGTGTTCTAGTTTCATTCAAAATTTGTATTACTTTCAAAATGACCAAATTTGAGAAAGCATAATTCTCAAGAGCCTGATTAATTAAAAAAGATTATTAAAACAATCACAAAACTGTATATAATTCATCCTAAGATTTTTCTGGTCCACAATTAATTCTAAATCAGAATCTTATCCAATATAGAAATTAAATTCTAGGGGCACCTGGATGGCCCAGTCAGTTAAGTGTCTGACTCTTGATTTCATTCTGGTCATGATCTCAGGGTCCTGGGATGAAGCCCCACATCGGGCTCTGCCCGTAGCTAGGAGTCTGCTTAAGATTCTCTCTCTCCTTCTCCCTCTGCCCAACGCCTGCTTGTAAATGCATGCATGCGCACTCTCTCTCTCAAATAAGTAAATAAAATCTTAAAAAAAAAAGAAACTGAATTCTATTGGCAAAAAGCAATTGAGGTACTTTATCACCTGGATAGCAGTTGACACATTTAACACAATTTGCAAATTCTATTTTCATACAATGGCCACAAAATGTTACTATTCCTTTGATTTATTGTAGCTTCCTACGTGGCAATGAATTTGTATTAGTTGACTTCACTGGAGGAAAAAAAGTAACAAATTAATTCAGAAAAGTTTATGCATTTGAAAATTTAGGGGTAGATAAAATGTCATACTTCTTTGTATCTTGAAGAAAGACAACCATAATTTAGTTATGTACTTTTAGAAATCAATTTATTGTGAATGCCATTTTTTAAATCATAAAATTTGCAACTTGTCAATATACATTAATTACTTGGTTTCAATTAAAAATTTTCAATATAAAAAATACTATCATTGGCCTATTTCTATATTAATGTATTCTTCATTACCTGATTCAACAGCTTGTGACTTTTTTCCATTATGCTGATCAACAGTAATTAAGCAGCCTGATGCTCTTCTCACATCCCATAATTTTACTCTACTGTCAGCACTAAGAAGAAATAAATGTTACAGTGACATATATAGCTAGGACAGTGACTGTACTCTTCACCTACCTTTCCAGTATTACGGCACACAGAAGTCTCAGTATATTAGTGCAAATATATTGTACATTTGGGTTGTTGAACTTTTGCCTTTTCATCAAATATTCAAAATCAGTAGTAGCAAAATGCAGTGAAAAAAATAGCCAAAAAAAGGGTAACTTTTTTAGATCATCAAAACAGAATTCTGATTTTTATTTTGTTTTTAATGGTTCCTCTGCCAAAACTAGATAGTTTTGGAGCTTGTCCCTTAGCAAGTTTGTTACGACATCCTTTCTATTGTTTGTTATTCAAATGTTTTCTAGACAATCAAGCAGCTAACTAATTTTGCTTTAAGAATTCATTTGGCATGAATTTGGTGTTTTCTTTTTATATGAAAAAATTAAGGTGAATAATAAGGACAATATATTTATATTTGGTTTCCTATACTCAAATCAATCTTTACCAGACATACAAGAACTAACTTTAATGTCTCTTAGAAATCTGGCACTTATTTTTATTTTACCTCAAGTAAGTGAAAAGAATAAAGGCAAAAAACCATGATCACATTTCAATTTCAATTTCAACTGCTCCTAAAGAAAATATAAATCAGTTTAACTAATGCTATCATGTTCTCAAAAAAGACCTCAACAATATCCTAACAAATTGGGTTTATCCAGGCCCCTTTAATTAGAAAGAGCAATACAATGCACTTTATAAGCCTATTTCTAACTTATAAATCTTTTTTTTCCATAGGTACAGGGCTTACCTCTACCTATAGTCTTGATTCTTTTCACAGATCACCATCAAACCTAGCCAATTAGAATAGCAAGAAAAAAGCTAGCATTTCCCACTTTCAAAATGGTTTTCTTTCTTTCTAGCTGGGGAAAAAGTCTGCAATGAGATGAGTCTGAGGATTTAAGTACTTTCTGAAACAGATAAGATTTGGACTTACCTGATTACTAGCATTGATTACTAGGTCCATTCTCATAATGATTCAAATTCCTGTGGTACTCTGAGAACTGAAAGCCTCTTAGCTTCCCCATGGTTTGAGGAAAACCAAGTTAGGCATGAACAATATAAATTCGCCCTATGATGGACCCATAACCAGCACCTAGCTTTTCACCTTCACACCTCTCTAGGCAGCCTTCTAACAGCTATATTCTAGACTTGTTCTACTTCACAAAGCATAGATCTCAGTATCACATTCTATAAACTATTAATAGGAGCTTCTCTGGGGACTAAACTGCTTGGCTCATGGTAGGGGGTCATCATTAAATATTATTAAATTGAATCAAGGGATAAATGTTGAAGCAGATTCAAAATAATATGCATTAAAGAAAATGAATTGAAATCCTACTGTTTTAAAATTCTTATACTTGGGTAGAAAAAAATGACAACACAGTTTTAGCTAGTACTAGCAAATCTGCATTGCTACAGAGATTCTCGTTTTCTGTTTTAAAAGGTGAGCAACTTCAAGATATGTAGTGATAGGACTTAAAAACACTAACTCAATTATTTAAAGGGCCTAATTAATAACTAAATATGCATCTTATAAAAAAGTATTTTCAAAATTTTTATCATTAATTATTAACTTCAAAACCAAATGATTTGCATGTTACCTTGCAGTTGCCAAGACATATTCACAACGTGGTGACCAGGAAACTGCCAGTATTTCTTGTCTGTGACCTGCAAACATAACTGTATGAAAAGTCTTGTAAAATACTTGAAAAATCAAAAGATACAGTGTAATATGTCTGATTTTGAAGAAAGTGAAGACTAAATATTAAAAATAAATTGATATGATCATCACTTTTTCACATATATAATAATCCATGTTTAAATATTAATATGAAGTCTGTGGGGCATTTCTTACATGTTATCCCATTATAAATGGCCTGGTTTCGCATTGGAAAGAGCAAGTGAGTCTTTCTTTTTTAATACAGCTGTTAGATTAAAAAGTGAATCCACTGTTAAGTAATACAGCTTAAGCTTGTTTACTTGTATCTACCACAAAAAAACAATGCAACAAACCATACAAATTAAACATTCTAGAGAATAAAAATGGTTTCTATCTTTTCAGAAAGTTATAATAGAAATTTTTGTAAAATTCATGATTGTAGAAAGCATTTGGATAAAAATTTTTTTCTAGAAAGCACAGGTGATACGTTCACAGGATAATTGACTTCAGCATTTTAATTCACTTTTGCCTAAATGAACTATTCAAAGTAGATATTTTCATCTACCTAACTTACGTTATTAGAGATTCATGACAATGTAAAACAAATGCTATCCATTTCACCAAGTTCTCTTGATATATTATGTGTTTCTCGGGGATGAATAAAAATGTAAATTTCTGAATTACAAGCCATCTTTCCATTGTTTAGAATCGATGGTCTAATAGTGATAAGAAAGTAGCAAAAATATTCAAATTAATATATCTTAACCAAAATATTATTTTAATAGCTTTTTCTAAAATATTTGCATTCAGGAAAAAAAAGCACCTAAATATTAAGAATGTTTACTTAGCCAGAACAATACTAAACAATGCTCATAAGACAAATGTACCAATGTAAGTTTCATAAATAATTTTTTTTAAAATGTAGAAATAAGGTAAGGTTTTCAGCTAGACTTTCCATATCTTTTGAGTTTACCCTATGGCTATTGTTTATATAAATGTCTCCTCAATAGTTCAGTTTTATAAGAATAATGCACAGAAGGATCTTTATTTCCCTGTTGACTTTTAACAACTAGCACAAAATACATCAGTCATGTCAGTTACAAAGAATACATTGTTAGCAATGTTTCTTTTTATTGAATGGTTTACTCAAAGTAGTTGTTGTTTCAAATAAAAAAAAAAAATACCCTGTAAAATGTGGGAACAGGATCCAGACTTTAAGTCACAAAGTTGTACTTTGGGCCCTCTAGTACCAACTGTAAAAACAAAAACAAAAATGGGTTAAGATAATTTTATTATAAATCATCACCAAAAGGAAACAAGAAACTACCATTATGAATCATGATATCTTCTCTGCATCTACACAGAAATATAAAAAAAGTATGCCAAAAATATACTTCAAATCATTTTTAATGTTTATAATTAGCAAATGTAATTGCAGTTACACCTTAGTACTAAGAGAGCTCTATTACTGCATTATGTTCTAACGTTTAATTTTGAAATAATTATAGATTCAGAGAAAGTTGCAAAGATAGGACAGAGAGACCTTGTGTACCCTTTACCCACGTTGTCCCAACCATTGTTATGTTAGGTAACTATACCAGAGTATCAAAACCAGGAAATCTGCATTGCTACAATTCTATGCTATTTTATTATATCAAATAATTTTACTTAATGCCTCAAACTTTCCATATTAATGATATACTTCCAGAGACTCTGGACACAGACTGAGTGGACCTTGAGGACAAGCTAGTGCCCAGCTCTTTTCTGCACACGATGCAGATGACTGGTAGTATCTGCAGGTGAAGATGTTCGTGCAGTGCCAAACAAATAATGGAATCCTAGGGACCTGATACCAGATACCAGAAAAACATTTTTTCTTCCTCACACATGAAAATTCTTGTTGTAGGTGCTTTCATAAAAATGGATGTTTAATTTGAATAACACAATCTTAGAGAAAAGAAAATAATTTCAATTTTTTTACTATGTTGAATCGAAAAAGTTGCCAAATTTTGTTCATGTAAAATCTTTGAAACTTTTGGTGGTTGAAAATTAACTCCTTAGGAAACAGAAATGTGCTTTCTTAATCTTTGAATTCTAGCCACTAGCACAGTGCCCAACCTGCACAATACCAATAAAATTGAATGTCAATAGAGCATATACTTGAGTTTGTTTTTTTTTTAAATCATGATATTCATCTGGGTTGAAATGTCTATATCAAAACTAACTAGGTATTAAAAGGGAGCAAGTTTCAATATGGTGAAAAGCAAGAGTACACGTACAAACCTGCTACCAAACAGTGCTTGGTGGCGACTGGAGACATATGATGACTATAAACGGTTTCTTCAAAACTAAATACATCTGCAGTCTGATAATCAAAAGACATTTAAAAATTGTAAGTTCTAATTATAGTCACAAAACCAGTAAACATTCTATTTACTTATTTCCACACTGTTACCAATTTTTGAATGACTGTTAGCAATTTATTTGACTTACACATAGGAATGTGAATTGTGTAAAACTGGTGAATCACAGACCTGTACCTCTGAAACAAATAATACACTATATGTGAAAAAAAAGAAGATAGCAGGAAGGGAAAAATGAAGGGGGGGAACTCGGAGGGGGAGATGAGCCATGAGACACTATGGACTCTGAGAAACAAACTGAGGGTTTTAGAGGGGATGGGTTGGCCTGGTGATGGGTATTAAGGGGGGCACATTCTGCATGGAGCACTGGGTGTTATATGCAAACAATGAATCATGGAACATTACATCAAAAACTAATGATGTAATGTATGGTGATTAACATAATAAAATAAAATTTAAAAAAAAGGAATGTGATACCCTCAAAAACCCGTTAATTTTAACTCCTATGCTATTGGGGCGCCTGGGTGGTTCAGTAGGTTAAGTGTCTGCTTTTGGCTCAGGTCCTGATCCCAGGGTCCTGGAATCCAGTCCCCCAATGGGCTCCCTGCTCCATGAGGAGCCTGCTTCTCCCTCTGCCTCTGCCTCTCTCTCTCATGAATAAATAAAATCTTTTAAAAAAATAAATCCTATGTTATTTATTACACTCTGTCCCTTTTGTGAGAGGAACAGCTTTTCTCTAATAAATTCAAGACATGGAGAAAAGACAACCACCTGGCTCACCATCTTCCTCTCCACTCCAGTCTGGGGAACTTCATCACCTACACAGGTGATCTAGCTAGTGCTCTGCCTCTCGGTCCCATTCAACCTCAGCTACCATATCCCAGCACTCTCATCACCTACCCTCACTCTTCCTTCAAAATTATACATTTCACATATGTAATGTATGACCACAGTCTTCTACCATTTTCAGCTTAGTTTTTCCCAACGACTTCCAAGACATCCGAATAAAACCCGAAACTCCTATCAGTTCCTCCTGTCTTTGCTTTTTTTCCTTCTTCAGTGTGGATTCCGAGGTTCAATACTTCATCCACCATATCCTCAGCTCCTTTGTCATTAATTCTTTCACTCTGTCAAGACTTCAACCCCGGATGATTCCAAATGTCTGCCTTCTCTGCACCTGTATCCACAGTGATCTACACCAGAGGTCAGCAAACTTTTTCTGTAAGGTAAGACTGTAAATGTTTTAGGCTTTGAGGACTACTACTTGTTTCTGTCATTTCCAACTAATTTCTGCCACTGCAGTGTCAAAACAGCCACAGACAAAAAATAACATCTTATTTGCAAAAAGAGGCCAGAGGACCAGACTTGGCCTATGGGCTGCTTAGTAAGCTGACCTCTACTTTAACCCAAGAGAAGAGAATCTTACAGTAAAGCAAACTGGCATCACTATAAAAGACCATTCATCTCAACTGGGCTTTCAGTATTCACTGCCAGTCCTATTATATCCTATTATATTTCACTACTATTTTCTGCAATATTCACTGCTATTTCAAACTTCCCCACTCTCCATAAACATCACCACTCGGTCATAACAGGTGATCTGATCTTTGATTACAAAGAGAAAACAGGAAGTCATTCAATGAGAATTCCTTGAATATCTTATTAACAGACCTACAAACACATTGGCTTCCATTTATCCTTCTCCTTCTTTGTTCCTGTTATCATGGAAAAATCGTCCTTCCTCATATTTAAAGTTAACACCCCTACCTGTGTTCAAATGACCCTCAGCACTGTTAAAAATCTCATGCTACACATTATCTCCTCTATCTCCAGGATATGTACATACCCTCCCTCCCTACTAGCTCATTCCCATCAGCATGAAAAAATGTTCATGTTTCTTTCATCCTAACAGCAACCCTTTCCCCAAGACAAGAAAACAAAAACCTTTCATCCTATATCCCTAATTAATCTTCTTTCTTCCTCTTGGATCCTTTAAATTTAACAAATCTAAAATTGACTCAATACCTCCCTAATCTTTCTCTTAGTAAATAACAATTATACTCTACCCAACTGCCCAACATAGAGAACTTAAGAATAATTCTTGGTCTTTTTAAATAATACCTTTATTGAGCTATAGTTGACATACCATACAATTCACTCATTCAAAGTATGTACTTTAATGGTTTTTAGTATATTCACAGAGTTGTGCAATCATCACCAAAATCAATTTTAGAATACTTTTATCACCCCAAAAAGAAACCCCATTCCCATCAGCAGGCACTCCCCATTTCTTCCTACTCTCTCCCCCAGGAAACCACTAATCTACTTTCTGTCTCTATAAATTAGTCTATTTCTTGATGTTTTAGAGATGGAATTATACAATCTGTGGTCTTTTGCAATCTTTCATTTAACATGTTTTCTTTTTTCATTTCACTTAGCAAGATGTCTTTTAAGGTTCATCCACACTAGCATGTTATCAGTACTTCACTTCTTTCTATTGCTGAATAATATTCCATTTGATGGCTACCCATTCATCAGTTGATGAATGTTTTATTTGTTTTCACTCTTTGGTCATTTTGAATAATGCCACTATGAACATTTGTGTACAAGTTTTGTGTGAAGTTATGTTTTCACTTTGCTTTGGGTACACACACAGGAGTGGAATTGCTGGGTCATATGCTAAATCTATGTTTAACCTTTTCAGACTGTTTTCCAAAACCGCTATACCATTTTACATTCCCACCAGTAATTTATGATCGTTCCAGTTTATCCACATCCTACTCAACACTTGTTATTGTCTTTTTGATTACAGCAATCCTAAAAGGTATGAAATGGTTATCTCACTGTGGTTTTGATTTGCATTTCCCTGAAATTCTTGATTTTTCACTATTCCTGATAGCTAATCAACTTGCAACTCCTGTCAATTCTCTGTAATCCCCTCATATCTATCTATTCCGTTGCCATTACTCTAGTCAAGCCATGATCTACCCACACCTGCCTGGATTACTGCAACCTCCTCCCTGCTCTCTCTTTTTTTTTTTTAAGATTTTATTTATTTATTTGACACAGAGAGAGATAGCAAAAGAGAGAGAGAGGGAGAGAGCACAAGCAGGGGGAGCGGCAGGCAGAGGGAGAAGCAGGCTTCCTGCATGAGCAGGGAGCCCGATGTGGGGCTCGATCCCAGGACCCTGGGATCATGACCTGAGTTGAAGGCAGCGGTTTAACCAACTGAGCCACCCAGGCGCCCCCTCCCTGTCTCTTTGACTCTCCTCTTGGTACCTTCCAACCAATTGGCAACATATCCAGACTCTTTCACCTAAAATGGCAATTTGATGTTTTCATTTTTGGCCAGCGCTTAGACACTTCAAAATCTTGCTTTTTCTCCTAGGAAAATATTCAACCTACTTAATAGAATTAATAAAGCCCCTCATGATACAGACACTGCTTACCTTTTTGGCTTTATCTCTGGCTACTGTCCTTTGGCACTCTAGCCATTGTGAGCACCTTTCAGTTTTTAAAATGTCACATTCACTGTTACCCCAAAGAGTTTTCTCATGTTGTTCCCTCTGACTAGAACTCTCATCCTCCTTTGGACTTGGCCAATTTCTATGCATCATCCTTCATCTCAGCCAAAAGCCAGAGGACCACTTACTCTAGAAAGTCTTCCCTGATTCTCCATAGGTTAGGTGATCCTGCCAAAATACTGTAGACTTTCATCGTTATAGTCCCTTTTGGACTTCACTATTATTTCTTGTTTAATCATTTGTTTTCCTTGCTAAACTGAAACTCCTTGCCATAGGGCAGGGACAATGTTTATTTTCCTTGCCATTGAATCCCCAGCTTTAACATGTAACAGAAATTGAATACATACTGTTGAATATATTCAAGAATCTTAACTCATTTCTAAAGAACATGGCCTGGATACCAACATCTGTATTTTCTCATTTTTGTTCCATTATGCAAAATTCTAAGAAAACTCACAATGAGAAAAAGTTGTTCTTTACCCTAATGTGAAACAGAGAAGTCTCTAGAGAAGATATTCCTTTAAGTCATATCATGTGCTCCAAGCTTTAAAAACACATTTATGGAAAGCTCAGATGAAGTAAAAAGTATGATAGATATATAATATGTACATTAATAGGAAAAATTAGTGGCAGGGATAGAGGATGTGGAAAACAGACAGTATCATGCCTTCCTTATTTTTCTCTGTACCTAGCAGATGCACAAGAAATTATTTCTTACTGAATACTTTCAAAGTTCTTATCAATAAAATGCTTTGTCTATTTCAGATAGAACTATGAATTCATGAAATGCTATTTTTCTAAGTAATCTCTTCCACCCAACGTGGGGCTCAAATTTATAACCCCAAGATCAAGTCACATGCTCTACCGACTGAGCCAGCCAGGCGCTCCCATGAAACACTATTTTGAGTTGGCAAAAGCATTTATGTTCGAAAGAAAATTTGAAATCAAGATGTCTTTTCTTAGAGTTTTAAAAAGAAGCCAATGTCAATCAAAGAAAATGCAAATGTATGGCTTATTAATTTTTAAACCACATTTTTAACTGAAGTGTAAGTAATAAAAATACAGAAAAGTATATAGATCATAAGTGTACAGCTCAGTGAATTTTCAGTGTGAATTTTCACAAAGTAACCACCACCTTCATTATAACATAGAATGTTACAAACATTATATTACTAACACCCCCAAAAGGCTCCCTACACCCTTTCAACCCTCACCAAGAAAGATAACCAGCATACTGACCTCTATCACTTTAGATTAGTTTTGCCAATTTTTGAGTAGGAATTATATATTAAGTACTCCTTTGTGTCTAGTTATTTTGTTAATTATTATGTAAAATTCATATATTTTGTTGATATAGTAGTGAGTGTTGCCTTGCCATTGTTGGATAGTATTCCAATGTAAAATGTGCCAGATTTCATTTGACTGTTAATGGACATTTGGATTTTCTCCAGTTTTTGGTTATCATGAATAGTGCTACT